GTGGTAAATTTTTATTAAAAAATATCTATTCAAAGCATATATAATAATGCTATTAACCTAAATATTTTAAATATTTAGTATGTTTATACATAATATCTATATTACAGTTCTGAATATAAGTATTTATACCTTCATCATTAAAAAAAATTTAATAAATAATAAATTTTTTATTATAAAATACAAGACGAATCCTGATCATTAATATTGTTAGCATTGAAAATGAACATTATTACAAATACAGAAAATATCACATAAGAACTATCAGATGATAATGCGCAGTAATAATCAACTATTACTGTGATAGACAAATCAGAAAAATAATAAGGATCTACATGATTTACCTAATCAACCAAAATTTCATCTGATTTTTCTGATACCACAAATTTTAATTATACTCATAGAAATAGCTAATTGTTCATTCTAAAATTTCTTTATTATGTTTATTTATTTTATTATTTCATATTATTTATCTTATATTTTATCCTTATTTTATTATCTTTTATTATTATTTTTATAGTTAAAATTTACTATAATAGTTAGTTTATAGCATAGCAAATAGTTAGCTGTAGCAAATTCATTTTGTATAAATAGAATAGCTTTTGCTTAAATTATAAATTAACTCTTCTGCGAGTTTCAAGTTATTAATAAAGGAATCAATTTAAATCTATACAAATTTACTTACTTTTTCCTTTAACATTGTCTTGCATCTAGGATTGTTATGATATATTACACTAACTTACTATTGAGTTCATCATTACGAGTTCGATTAATATATCTTTAAATTCTAAAAATATAATAAATTGTCAAGTTGATTCAAGTATAACAGATATCTGTAAGACTTAGAGAAAATCCTAAAGTCAGAAACTCTAATGTATAGAATTAACTGCTGCAGCCTTTCAACTTAGATATTAAGATAACTGAAAACGAACTCAGTGACAATATATAGTAAAATTCCTCTAAATTTATTAATGCCATAACTCTCTTTTTCATACTATTAATAAGATTTTTAGCTAAAAGAACTGATAATTAGTTCTATTCTTTTGTTAATTCCACCTTTATTCTTCTAGATATTTTAATTTTTTTTGAAATTTTAATTTTCAGAAATTACTAAACATTTTCTATAGAATTTTGATCAAGAGATATAGATGGTCAAGATAATACAGTCAATTTATTTCTTTCTTCTATTTTTTGCAAATTTTTGAGTGATACTTGAGATCATTATTTTCTTACAAAATCTAATCTATATTATCTTCACCAAAAGCTTATAGGTAGAAGGTAAAAAACCTCTCTTATAGATACTACATATAAAAAGAAAATCCAGATTACTTTCAAAATATACTGACTTACTAAATCCTGAAAAGAAAAACAACCTCAGATATAAACTTTCTGTAAATATTTGACTGTATAGAATATTTTTAGCCTTTTAATAAACTTTCAAACCTTTCTATTTGACTAAAATAATTGAAAAGTACTCTATTCAGTAAAAATAACTTGTTTCTAATCAAATTTTTGATATTTTTTACCCATTTTAACTGGTTAGCTATGTGTTTCTCAGAAAGCAAATGTTTGAAAGTTTCTTTACAAATTTACCTTCAGACTTACCAAGATGTCATCTAATTATTCTTGAACTAATAATAACACTTTGTTTTTTAAGTTTTTATTGAATTTCAATACTGGTAATATATTTTTTATTGCCAGCTTTACAATTTATTTATCTTATATTTTGATGGTACTGCAAGGTCAACCTGTCTTCTGTTCATTAGTTAAATCCTTATCTTTCTGGTATTTTTTCATCTAATAAGCTACTGTATACTTGCTATAGTAAACTAATGATGCTATTTTTTCATAACCTCACTTAAACTTTCTGGGAATTTATGGAAAAAAGCAATTTCATATCATTTGTCAAGCGTAAGTGACATTTTTGTAATTGAAAATTGTTGATAATTTAACTCCTGATTTATATATTATACGAATTTCTAATTTTATAAATAATCAAGATTAAGATTGATCTTTAATCCTAGAAAATTTTAGGGTAAGTTATATGAATTCAAAAAATATTGGGATACAGATACTTATGACCAGGCTATACTTACATCTTTCACATTTTTAGCTTTTTATATTATTTTTTTCATCTTTTATAACTCAAAACTTCTTTACCATCTATTATATTAACTTATATATTATCTTTCAATATCTGTTTTTTATTAGATAAAAATTGCTTAATACTTACTTTAAGTCTTTTCAGAGGTTATCCTTTATATTTGATAATAGTAGGATAATTAATATTAACTAAATTTTTGTTTATTTTATTTTGTATGTTATTAATAAACTTCTTAAACATATTTGATAATTTATGTTGCATGTCAACTTTAATAGTATAATTGATAGCTTTTCTTGAGAATTATATAAATCAATATAAATAGAAAAGAAATAATAGAAGTTTATACTATTTTTCAAATACTGTATTATCTTTTTTTAAACATGTTACATTATATATTAAAATAGAAGAATGTTGTTACAAAAAGTAATCCAGTTTAACATTTGTGTCTAAATATCATCTATTCAAAATTATACTTATATAAAAGATTTTATATTGAGAATAGGTTAATATGCTAGTCCTTTATTAATTTAGTAAAGACATATATATAAATATGTATCTTAGTCATATACAGTTAACTCTTGATATAGCAAACTCTTGATATAATGAATTTTTTGAATAAATATAATAAAAATACTCTTATTATAGTAAATTAGCCAATCAAATCTCTTAAAATCTTCACTATAGCCTTATAGCAAAGTTGAGGTCTAGGTTATAGAGTTTATTATAATAAGAGTTGACTATAAAACTATATATCTAATTTCTTGTGTATCAGTTACTCAAATATTTCATATTTCTAGTATTATTTTTAATGATATATTTTTAACTAATCTGTTTCATATTTTGTTCTTGCTTTCTAATTTCAATATATATACTACCCTCCAAAAAGTATCCAGTCAAGCTTTTTTAAAATTTCTCAAGAATGGATATATTAATTAAATAAAATTTTTTTTTAAATAAACCTTCTAGTTTTGATGATAATGTACATATATTTATATTTGTATAAAATACGTAAATCAGTTACACTCGTCAAATGATGTTATACCAGTGAAAGATCACAAGCCTAATTCTCTACTGATTTTTCACTAACAATATCTTGATGATTATTTTCAATACCCTGCCGATTCTTGTTTAGATTCTGAACAATATCGGTAAAGTATACTTTGTAAGTATTGAGTTTAATCAGTAAAGAATCAGATTATTAATCAGTTAAATATTATAAAAGCATTAATACCGGTAGTTCCCTCATTTATATATGATTATCATTTGATATTTATAATATTATCTATTATTATTTAGCTGAAAATTATACTTTTATTATGCATATATATTATACAAATTTATACAAGCTATAATATAAACAATATAAGCTATATAAGCGATATAAAATATCTATATGAGTAAATTATAAAATTTTCCTTTGAACATGTCCTTTATTTATTTCTGTTTCCCTCATTAATACCAACATTAGAACTAATCATTAATTGATGATCGTCACCATATGATCGAAAAATCGACCATTCTCAAGTGGTTTAGAATTATCGTACTATTTGTTATCTTCATACTAATGACGTCATAAAATTTTTATATGGCTTATTTTCTTGCCAGTATTATCAGATAGATGAAGTAAATCACGAGCTTATTAAACAAAAAAAAAGCAATCAGAATTGATTGATTACGCAAAATAAATAACTAATTACTTACATGACGTGACCTCCATGGTTTATCATAAATATGAAGAACATGTTTATCTATTGTTTTATTTTTCAATAAGATATTCATATTAACTTCTTTTTGGGTAAGTTCATCATCACTCTCAGATACTTCATTATTATAGAATTCACCTTTATTTATCAATTATTCACAATTGTTCTTGAATTCATCCCAAGATAAAGAGGATGGTTTAAGATCAATTAGTGAACTATCTTTGATATTGAACATATGAGATAATCCTTTCTGATGTCGCTTTTTCTTTTATATAGATTAAATAAATGTGATAATAAAATTTTTAACTCAATAGAATAGTTTACAAAAGTACTTACATCGCCTTTACGAGAATTGGTTCCTTTTCTTTTCTTTTCTGACTTAGCTTTTTCTAGATCAAAACTAACCTTCCAGTTCTCACAATGGTGATGATGCAACTGTTGCAAAACCTACTTCAGCTCCGTATCTTTATATTGAAATCTTCTTTTCATAACTTTATCGATCTCCTTTATTGTATGTTTTGCAATATGTCAGGCGATATCCGTCCATTTTTTAGTATGATCCAGTTGTAACATATTATCAAGACCACTAAGTATCTGCAATACTTCATCCTTATTTAAAAAAATGCAATGATTAAAAAATAGTAATTATAGTAAAAAATAATAACCTACATGAAAACTCTTATATTGCTCTTTGTTCATATTTTCAAGAACATTTTGAGCACGATGATAGCTAGCTTCTGATGCTAGAGTTATCAATATTCTTCTTCAATTATATTGAGTTAATCGAAACAACTCATCCAGTTCTGATTAAGAGGCTATCTTGATATTTCAAACCTCTTCTGTAAGTACATTGACAGCTTTACTTAGGGCCTTGATTACTATAAATTAATATCATTAATAGTAAAAATATATTCTTTTAAAAAAAATATTAACTAAATCATACCATTATCATATCCTCTTGGCAAATAGCTATTACCAAATCTTCTCAAGTCTATGATAGTTAATGAACGGTCATTATCATGATCTCTTAGATTCTTGATGGATAACGAGTGGCCTCTTGAATCTTGAATAGATGGTGAATGGCTTCTTTAAATACTTGGTGAATGGCTATTACCAAATCTTCTTGAGTTTATGATAGTTGATAAATGGTCATTATCATAACCTTTTGGATTCCTAATGGATGACGAGCAGCCTCTTGAATTTTGAATAGATGGTGAACGGCTTCTTTAAATACTTAGCGAATGACCTCTTCTAGTACTTGGTGTATAACCCTTTCTAATCTTTAAAGATTGTTAGGGTTTCAATGTAGATTTTATAAATATATAATTTTTTACCTTAGTGAACAACTTGATAAGTAACGAGTGTATCTTGAACCTTTTTGATAAAGGATAATGAGAGTATTTTTTTCTTAGTAAAGAACTTATGATTAACGAGAGTATCTTGAGTTATTTATTCTTGATAAACAGTGACTTTATGGACTTATATCATATGATCCTAAATATCATTGGCTTATTATGTTAATTTTAAATAATTTTCTGTTATACATTTTTGACCAAAAGAATATAAACGAATATAAATTGGAGATTTTTGTTTTTGTTTTTATTTTTTTTTCCTACTAATAAATAATACCTCTTTTTTTTTCTTTCTTAACCAAATGAAATTAATCTAACGAAATAGAAAATCAATTTATCAAAGTTAGAAAGATCAAAAAATCAATCAATTTATATATTCATAAATTAAACTATATTTAGACTACAATTTGATTGCCTTATTTAGACATCTATTAAAGTTTGTATTGATTACAAATTGATGTTAATTAAACTTTATACCAAATATACTATTTTGTATACATATATATTTGATTTTTGTACAACAGTAAATATAAATTTATTATCGTCACATAAAATAAAATTAAAAAAAGAAATTTTTAACTACAATGCCAAAAACATATTGAAAAACAAAAAAATCTTTTGTAAAAAAATTCAATAATCTATCAGTTAATACTAATAAAAGTAAATCGAAGAAAGTATATTATTATTGTAATAAATGCAAAGGTTGCTTGGTTAATCCACGTACAGAAAAAAAACATAATTTAAGAAAGAATATTAGACATAGAGGAATTATTAAAAATATAGTTCTAAATCGAGGTTTTCCTAACGATCTAAGTCAAGATATATTAGTAAATCCTTTGAATGATCCAATAGAAGTTGACACATCAAGTAACAATAGTGATCAAACAATTAAACCTATTCAATCTGTTGAAAACTATTCATTTTTTCTCAAGAAATTACCAAAAGGCGAGTCAAAAGTAAAACAAAAAGGTATTGGTAGTGGTGGTAATGGTAGTGGTATTAGAAAGAATCCTGTCATTATTATTGAACAGAGTATTTTTGATGGTGGTGATGATGATAATAATAATGATCAGAATGACAGTGATCTTAATTCTATTGAAAAAAGTTTGAATGAATATTCTTCATTTAGCGGTTTTGGTGTATCAGAAATAGAAGATGTATGTGATAATTCTAAAAAACCTATTGTTGATTTTAACGAAGTTCTAATTGAAACGTCTTGTGGATTTTGTTATATCAAGAGAGGTATAAGCTATCTGATGTTGCTACTGATTCTTTGATTAAATTTTTTAGATATCTTTTGATTCTTCTAGATGCAAATACATATAATTCATTTCTCACATCACTATATATAACATGAAAATACTCAGCGTATATGCTCATATCGTAAAATATGCAGCATATAAAAAATGCTGTAAATTATATAATATAGCAGAAATATCAATCGCTAAGCCTATCCAATCTCCAGTTAAAAGCTATTGTACTTATATCAATTTACCAAACCATCTGATAGTAAATCAAAGAAAAGAATGTATAATGAAACTTACCAAAACAGTTCACACTATAGATGGAGTGTTATATTAGCCTTTTTTAATATACCTAACTGTTAGTTTAAAATATCAATTACAATTGATGTACAATCAAAAAGGATTTGAAAAATTATGCAGGAAATGGGTAGATTGGTATAGTGATTCTTGATATTTGAATGATATTTACGATGGAAGAGTTTGAAAAATATTTCAGAACTAAAACTTAAATTTACCATTTTTTTGAAAAGAAGTAGCTGATAGACACCTGGGAATTATGCTAAATATCGATCAGTTTCAGCCATTCGATAATACTAATTACAATGTAAAAGCTATGTATGGTATAATATGCAACCTTCCATAAAGTAAAAGGTTCAAGTCATCAAATATGTTAACAATGGCTTTGATCCCTAGTTCAAATGAGCCAAGCTTGCACCATATAAATTATTATTTGGGTCTGATAGTCAATCAATTAATTGAATTATGAGACAGGATTGAACTATTAGCAACATATGAAAGCACTAATAAGCCTATTTGAGCTGTAATAATATGCTGTTCTTATGATATTCCAGCTGCAAGAAAGCTTTATAATTATATATCTGCATGCATGACCTATCATAGATGTTTAAAAAAGGCATAATTTGATGATTGTAATCAACCAAATTTTAGTGAATTTGATAATATTGATGAATAGTTTGTTAAAAGGGATATCAATCAAGTTCGAAAAAATGCACAAGAATGGTTAGGCTGTAATACTAAAGATGTTAGAATTATCCATGTATATGATACTTTTGTGCGCTAGTCTGAAATGTACTGTCTCACATATTTTGATTCAGTCTTATTTCTCATTGTTGATCATATATACTGTTTGTTTCTAGGTATTGCAAAATGGATTGTAACATAACTATAGATCGAAAAAGGTCAATTAAAATAAAATGATCTTAAAATAATGCAAAATAGGGCTAAGCTAATAAAAGTTCTAGCAGATATTGGCAGAATTCCATATAAAATTAATACAGGAGAAGGATTCTCAAGTTTTACTGCAGATCAGTAAAAACCTTTATCCTTGTATACGCAAATACGATTATTTAGAATCTGCTTTGAGAATCGAATAAAGTGATTCTCACTAATTTTGTTAGCGTATGCAATATTCTTGTATGCAGAACTGTATCTAAAGATAGGTTAGAAGATGCTCACGAATGACTCCTAACAATGTAAAGCTTATTAAGAAGAATTACAGTCCAGAAAAAATTTCACCAAATTTACATTTATGTCTACACATTTATCATTGTGCTTTAGACTATAGTCTGTTATATGCATTTTGATGCTTTAGTTATAAAAGGATGAATGGCTTATTGGGTAATTATAATACTTCTATCAAATTTACTGATCTTTACTTCATATTTATTAAATTATTTCATATTTATAGGCTCATATCATACTAATAACAGAAAAATTGAGCTAGAACTATTGAAAACCATTCAGTATAATTCTCTTCTTAATCAGTTTTTTTCATATATTCAGAATCATCAACATTTATCAGCTTGTTTATCTAATAATGCCAAAAAAAACTACCGGTAGTCTTGCAGTTCAAGATGAACTCAATGGAATAGATTATCGTAAATTTTATCAATATTTAGAAATGTTAAAGAAATGGCTGAAACAAGTTCAGAATCTTTTTCAGGTATTTTTCTTAATCCTAAAAGAATAAATACAAATCTATCAAAAGAAATATTAGATTTGTTGGTTGAATATTATTATGATGCCTATAACAAAGATTTTGTAGCATTGTCAAATATTTATGTTACCAACTCAGAAGCTATACCCGTACTTTCAAAGGTGAATATTTACGGGCAATTACGATTTGGCTCTAAAATTTTTAGATCATCATACTCTAAAAAACACATCTGATTGTCTAAAATTCTATCTCAATTTACACATATAAATACTAAAAAAACTTATCCTAGAATTATTCAATATTATTTTGAACATACTATGCATTTTCCAGAAGTATCTAAGAAATATTCTTTGGCATTTGTAAGGTGCTATCTTCTGATAGAGGATCATAAGATTAGATTTCACTGCAAAATCAATAGCAATGACAATTCTTGCCATATTAAACTATGGAAAAAAATATTTTACGATCTTAGTAGAGATTATATAATTCCAGTTCATAGTATATTGCTTGATTCGTTAAAGGTTCTTTTATAATAGGCAAAAGGAAATACATATCAGTAATACTGATTAATAGAAAGATTCATATTTAGTAATTTTATGTATATATGTATGATGTAAAAATGAAAAAAAAAAATATTTTTTTGATTTAATTTCGCAATGACTGTGCCAAAATCAATGATAAAATATAATTCAAAAGATAAAAAGCAGAAGTTCTTATTAAAGAAAAATTTAATAAAATAATATTCCCATTTTTTTCAATAACAAGTTATTTACATCTTGAACAATGATTTTTCTAGAAGAACTTTTTTTTTTGTAAATAGTACTTAGATAGCTTATCAGATAATATTATTTTGTAATATTGTAAACCCAGATTAAATTATAACAATTCCTATATATTTTGATGATTTACTGATACTTTTAAATAGATTAATAACAGATCATAAATGTATTTATTAGTAATCAGAAAACTGATATATTGCTTATTATTTACCAATTAAAAAAATGTTGTACTTTAAAAATCATCAATATCTTATAAGGTATAATTTATAAATCTATTGGAATTCTGATTATTTAATGATATAAATAATAAAAATCAGTTAAGAATCAAAAACCTAATTGGTTCTGATTTTTAACCAGTTCTTATTATACTAATTCTTCATCATTTGACTTGTGGTTTTAATAAACAAAAACATAAATAACTCTGATTTGCTTTTTTTAAAAAACTGCATCAATTGATATGGGAAAAAATCACAAATTAAATAAATTTGAACGTGAAAAAATAATTAGTTTACATAAAGCTGAAAGAACTCATAAAGTTATTGCTCGTATTTTAAATATTCCTAAAAGCACTATTATAGATACAATTTTTTGACATGCTATTTCCAATGATAGATTAAGTGCTAAAGACCCAGAAGACTACTTTCCATGAATAATAATGATAATCGCACATTAAAGAAAATTATAAAAAAGAATAATTGATTTTTTCTTAGTAAAATTCAGCATAATTTTCAGGATTTAAGAAACAAGAAAGTTTTATTAGGTACTATTTAAAAATCTCTTTATCAAATAGAAAATCACTTACGAATTGCTGCACTAAAGTCACTACTTATAGAATCTTAATGCAAAATCGATTAAAATGGTATATGAAGTGGCAAATTGGTCAATCCAAAAATAGAAAAGTGTGATTTAAAGTAATGAATCACGATTTATCCTGTTTGAAATGATGAGCCTAATCATGTTTAACAAAAAAATGGTATTCAATATGATATTGAAAATTAACTCCTATAGTTAAACATGATGGTGGTGGTATCATGGTATGGGAATGTTTTTCAAGAAAAGGATTAGGACCATTGGTAAAAGTTGAGGGAAAAATGAACTGATTAAATTATATTAATATTTTAGAAAAAAATTTATTGCCATTTATTTGATCGAAATATCACAAACAGCCTTATGCATTCTAAGATGATAATGCTTTAATTCATAAAGTAAAGGATGTCAAAAATTGGATTATTCAAAAATGGGTTAAGATACATAGAAATGAAGCATGTATTAAAAATCAAAGATGACCTACTGAGTATTAAATTGTATAATTATATTCAAAATTTTTAAATAAATAAATAATTTTTTGGCTGACTGGATACTTATCAGAGAATAGTGTATTTCATTATCAATTTTTATTTATAAGAATAAAAATATCAAGTTATTAGTACAAAAATGGTTTTAATGCTAAATTTTAATCTAATTTCTTCTTCTACCTATAAATATATTTTTATTTATAAACTCAAGCTCTATCTCTAAATCTAATATTATACTTACTTCTATTACTATATTTTACTGAAAATAAGCACATCCTAAAAATAAGTACAAACATATTTATCCAGGATCTAAAAATAAGTATATTTGTAAATTTTATTATAAATCTTAACCAGATATATTATAAATGTAAAATAATTTTACAAAAAATAAGCTATTATAACTTGTTAAAAATATTATCGTTAACTTTTATCTCTACATCAGAATTTACTGGTGAATCTGTTATATAACACTTCTTAAAAGATTCAATAATAATTTTATCAGAAATTTTCTTTCATGATCGCTTAATCCAACCACATACATCGCTTATTTTAGCATGTTAAAGATTTCTGTTAGCAGTATTTCCAGCATTACTACTTACCATTCATAGATGCCACTCATTTTGGAGGTTATCCTTAAATGGCTTGTTGATTGTAACATTGAGAGACTGGCAGATACTTATTAATTCGCTAAGAATTATCGCTAAATAAACATTACTTTTGTAAAACTTATTTTTGACTGATTTTTTTCAGGTAGCCTTTGAATGAGTCATATACTAGCATTGTTAGATTCCCAAATCTATTATCATTAAAGTAATCAATGTAATCCTTCATCAAATTAATATCCATCTATCTATTCTTCTGAAACTAAACTATTACACTAAAAGGAATTTTTTTTCATCACGTGCCAATCTCTTTCCTTTAAATATGCAAATGGAAGGTAATTTTGTTCCATCTTATTAAGTAGATTCAAATTTAGTAAGATTAAAAACTACAAAATTTGCAGAAACTACTAAAATATATAAACAAAAACAAAATTTTAAAAACTTACTAGCAGCGTATGTAAGAATAACTGTAAATCGATTTTTTTTATTTCCAGTTCTATGAACATATACTGTTTTTTTACCTATTTGATTAACTGTAAAATTACCTGCTATATCAAACCAAACAAGCATTTTATCTATGTTATAAATATCATACATTTCAAAAGACTTTTCTATCCTAAGTTGGGTGACAAATCTATTAAAACTCTCTAGCAATTCTTTAGTATGTTTTGGGAGTTTCTGAGATATTTTTATGCGTCAATACAATACTAGCTCATGCCTTTTCAAAAATTTATATAACCAGCTAAGTGATACTTTAAAATTATTTATTGAATTATAAATGATTGATTCACTTAAAATTTCCTTCATTTTATTTTGTATTATTAAATAATTTATAGTCAATCCTTGCTTCTGTTATCCAATAATCTAATTATATAAAAGTTTTTCAGCTTTGGGATATAAAGCCTTTCAACTAAAACAATTTTCTTTTTTTTGCTGTTTGTCTTAATTGTCTAGGTCTTGCTTGCTCTAACCCAATGTCTGATCATACTAATATTAAGATTAAAGTGGTTTATCACTGCACATCTATAATGTTTATAGATGCCTGCCAAAACCTCCTCAAAATAATTTCGTCATACCCTTTTCTATATTTTTAATATAGTTTCAACAGTTTTAGCTTTCATCGTATTGAATGGGTTTCGTCATATCCCTTATTATGATTTAAATATAGTTTCGTCTAAGTTTTGACTATTATTAAGGGGTTTTATCCCTTATCTATAATCATGTTGTTCTGTATAATTAACAACTTTTTTTTCTTTTAATAGAATATAAAGTTTGTCTAACCTTTCTAATAACTCTTTTATGTTTTGGTAGCATTTTTTTTAATAGGTTTAAAACAGGTTTTGCATTTCATTAACTAAGATGATATGATGATTATCAGATAATATTTGGCGCAGCTTTATATAAATCAAGTGAATTACTCAAAAATAAGCATCTTTATAATAAAAAAGTATGTTTATTTTTAGTAAAATACAGTATATATTACCATTCAGTAATGTAATTAATATTATAACATATAAATTAGTTCATTTGTGATCTTTATTTTTCAAGTATTACAAATATCAAAAAAGATTTTATAGTAGTATTGATTTGCTTAAAGAATCTTGTATTTTATATTAACATGCCAATTTTAAGTAAAGCATTTTGCTTAATATTAAACTTTTCAAAATATTCTTCATTTTTAATGTAATCTCTAATACTATATATTAAGCTATATAATGATGTAGCTTGATCAACTTTAATATGAATATACCTGTTGATTAATTCAATTTTTTATATACTTTAATAAAGTAGCATATATAATAGCTTGAATACATAAAGATAGCACTACAACTAGTTGCAATTATGTAATGCTTATTTATTATCAGTTGCAACTAGTTGTAACTTAATTTATTAATGTCACAACTAGTTACAAATCTGTAATGCTTATTTATCACTTGTTGTAACTAGTTGCAACACTATATTTATACCTTATTAACATTGTTAACTCTACGCTCAGCCTGTTAAACTTAGGATAACTATGACTTAATAACAGGGAGTAATGTGCAAAAAACTACTAAGTTACTGTAAAATAAGTCCTATCACAATTAACCTTAAGTTTATACTTTTAGAAAAGTAAATAACTTTAATAACTTGTAAACATGATAAACACAATTGACACGTTGAAGATTTTTAATATAAGTAATTTAAAAAAGATTCCTTTATTATAGAGATTTGTATTCTTAGTAATCCTTAACCTTGGATTCTAAGTCTTGAACTTGAACTATTGAGTTTACACTGTTATCTCTGCCTTTTTGCAAGGACAAGTTTCTATCCTATTTATACAAAAATACAATTATAAGAAATTACTATCTAACGCTAAACTATTTTATAACGCTAAGATAAATATAAAAGATAAATTATAA